TCTTGCTCTTAATAGTTAATATGAATGGAATGACTAATAAAACATGTAGCAGAGAAGATTCAACTCGACACAAGTAAATGGGTACACGGTATCGAAGTGTCATCCTGGAAACCTAGACATATGATCACTGAACAAATGCAAAAAGATGTGTAAGTTAACTTTCCATCTTGTGTATAGGACATTCTCTCATAACGAACAATATCTATATACCTCACTTTTTTTTGTATTATGCACAAATGTAGTTGTGGATTATGGATGATCAATTATATGGAGTATTGGACTGGAACTAATTTATCTGACCATATCACGAAGGTAATTCCTTACGAATTAATTTCTAGCTATAATAAGTTTTTTTGTATGTATTGATTAATATATCATGACTTCATTATGTTTTCAGGAAGATATAAGTAACTTCAGGTTTAAGCTACCTGCCATCCTGTACAACTCCCCGTTAAATGAAGCAAGAGGATTACCAGATAACGAGCAACAGAATCAGACAACAGTTCATCTGGTTGATGATGTCGTAGAGCTAGATGAAATGGATATTTTAATGTCGGGTAGCGCCAAGTTGATAAGTACAATAAAGTGGACAAGCAAGGAAGAACTATTGTCATAGATTTGCTCAACCATTCGGTGCACCGCGGATGATGGAACTTTAGAGTAAGTCTTTCTTCTTTCTAAATAGTTCAAAACAGAATTGTTTGTGCATTAAGTAATTAGTTTCTTGTTCTTTTTTTCCAGCAAAGAGTGGGTACGAAGTACACGACCATATCCAATTACTTTAAGTCTTAGGAAAATTATAAATATTTTACGTGAAGATACAACGATGGAACATGAAAGCTTTAATATGGCTATTCGGATGGTTGCGTGCAACAAAGAAATGATGCTGCATAAACAAAAATACCACTTCATGGATCTTAAATTTGCTGTAAGTTCTGAAATTCTATAATTCATCAAAAACTTATAATATATGTGATTAAAAAATTATATACTGACAATTACAATCATCATCAGGAAATAACTGGGTTTGGAAGAGATCCACGATGTACTGGTGGCATTGATAAGGTATACTACAATAAATTGAAAAAGGTACTTGAGTGCTAGCCAAACATGCACTACAAAATTCAAGATTGTAGTCAGATACGTTATGGTCAGTGTACTACTTTATACGAATTTATTTATTTTATTTATGAACAACTTACAGTCTATGTGTTTGTTTTTAATTCTACTACCATATTATCAGAATGGACTATACATTTTATTCATACTAGACATACAAAACAAAACTGTGCATATTATGGATCCGCTTGAACCGCTACTAGATAATGCATGTTTGAAGGGTTATCATCAAGAAATGGCATATATACCTACATTTCATACTAATGCTAGAATGTTCAATCTCGCTATGGCACTATCAAATTCTAGGTGGAGCGAAAATATTTATTACTGGGAGCGAAAATACCCTAAATATGTAACAAAGGTTTTGGGTCATAAATACTGGTAAGTGTCGTAAAATTTGGTTCAACTTTTCTATAAAAACAGTAATTTGATTTATGTACATCAAATAAATAACTGATCTTCTCCATCAGAAAATTGGGAGGCTTTCTTGTCTATAATTTCATGAAGTCGTGGGACGACGTAAGATTGCCACGGATCACCACTATAAGCATATATAGTCTCCAACTATATTCCGTACACTACATACAATACTAACATATTATATTCTATACCATGCGCAGCTATCATCTACACTTAGGAAGGAATTCTTGGCTGACATTTTGACGAGTCCTGCAAATGAATGTTTCAACATCCCTAAAGATGTGCAACAAATGATAAAGGACTTACGCCAAATGTAACTTAGGCTACAATATAATAATTGGGTAAAGGTTAAACTATAAAATAACAAATTGGATGTTTTTATGATCATTCTCTAGATAAAACCGTTGTATTAGCACGGGCATTATACTAGTAACTATGTAGGGGACCATGACGTCTAAGAGGGGGTGAATTAGCCAACTTGAAATTCTCACTTCAAACTATGGCCTCATTTCTAACCTTAGCAAAACCTATGCAAAAGATAAACTATCTAAGTGTGCAACTATGGTTTTGCTAGTGTGTTGCTATTTCTACCGTAAAAGGAGTAATATAAACAATGTAAATGCGGAAGCTAAAGAGTAAGGTAGAGATATGCAAACTCCCCTTGACAACTCTGGTATTTTTATCGAGGTATCGAGAAGCGCAAGCTTCCCCTAGTCCTCGTTGGAGCCCCTTGCAAGGAATCCCTCGCAAGGGCCAAGCTCCTGGTTGGATAACTCCGTGGATAGCCTCAGGCCTTCCCCACGCACAAGTGGGTCTTCGATTAAGCCACTCATGGCAAAGCCTCTCCCGGACCACTCCCCGCCGTCTTCACTATCAAGCTTCCGGCTGAAACACCGCGGGCTTTGTTCCCTTCGGTACAAGGTGGCGGCCACACCACAAACGTGGTTGGTGTGATCTCGCAAGACTACAAGCCCCTCCGATATACAACAATGGTGCGCGCAAGCATCGAGTGATAAGAGGTATGCAAACCTCACTAAACACTAGGACTAAACCTAGAGCAAGCGCATAAGCGGTGGTCTAATCAACCTAAGCACTTTACAAAGCACCTACGCTAATCACCTAATGAAACACTAAGCACTATGCAAGTGGAGATCACTAAAATGGTGTATCAACACCCTAGATATGTTTCCTTAGCTCCACTCCACTCGAATGGCTGGTTGGGGGTCTATTTATAAGCCTCGTTGAGAAAGTAGCCGTTGGGGACGAAACCCGCTTTTCTGCTACTGACCGGACGCAGCTTTCGTCCTGATCGAACGCGTCCGGTCGTCCCCACCGTTAGAGCGCGATCAACTGATCGGACGTTGATGGCGTCCGGTCACATGCCACCGGACGCGCCCGGTTGCAAATTCGCCGCTCTGGAACCTCTTTGTACTCGATCGGACGCTGCAGTCCCTGCGTCAGGTCGATTAGCCGCCATCGTCCGGTCAGTACTGAATGTGTTGTCGGGATGGTGAACAATGCCATCGGTGCGTCCGGCCACTTTCAGTCTTCAGTGTCCGGTCGCTGCTGCTGACGCCTACTGTTGCCGAAGCAACTGATCGGACGCGTCCGATCGATCATCTTCCAGCGTCCGGTCGCTACGTCCGGTCACTCTGCCGAGCATATTTCTTTGCGATCTTGCGTCTAGCTTGGTTCCTATCTTCATGTTTGGACTTTGCTTGATATCTTGGATCTTCTCTTGTGTTTCTGGGGTCTTGCTTAAGGTGTTGATCATCGGATCATCACATCGCCTTCGTACAAGTCACGTCTTGCACCGTATTGAACTATAAAACAATCACTTACAAATTTATTAGTCTAATTTGGTTGTGTTGGTCATCAAACACCAAAATCCAAAGTAAATGGGCCAAAGGTCCATTTTTCTTACAATCTCCTCCTTTTTGGTGATTGATGACAACACGACCAAAGTAAGCAAATAATAAAAATTTTGGAATTTAAAAACTATCTACTTGCTAGGATGCAATGCAAAGGCCAAGGTTATATGATGCTAAAAGATACCACTTGTAAGGCTAAAAGGTACCATATGTAAAGCTAAACTTATCTTGCCCTTACAAATGTCCCCATGTGACATTATGGATTTAAGCCTCGCTTTTGGTCCTACAAATTCCTCCTACAAATTCTCCCCATTACATAGACTAATCCATAATCCACTATCATCCCTTTCTCGGACCATTACCACTTGTAAAATTATTATGATCGGGCTTGCTTTTGGTCCTACAAATTCTCTCCCTTTAAAATCTACACCGAAAAGGAAGACATTAGTAGCACAAGGGAGGGTCAAACTTTGTGATCCTTTGTATGTGGAGTGAATATGTCACAAAATTTGACTCTCACATTACATAGACTAAGCTCTCTCTAAAAATATGCATACATATGATGGAGAATGTAGTTAATGCATAATTAACAAATTAATACTCAATGGAGTTTAATCTATATAATGCATGGAGAAAGCATTTAAATATCAAAGTGAAATCAACATTATCAACATAATTGGTTTTCAACCCTACTTGATACACATGAGCTATTGAATCAACTTTCATTTAACATTTTTATTGATCATTTTAAGTTACAAAAAATTTATCTATATATTTTATCACGTGTATTATCATATAAACATGATGCTCATGACATGTTTTAATAGTTAGGTTAAGGCGTGACACCGAATGTGTTACACATTTGAACATGGAAACGAAACTTAAAAAATGAAATAGCTAACAAAATAATAAAAAAAGATAAAACTCAATCTCTGAAAAAGAAAATGAAACAATGAAATAGCTACCAAATAATGAAACTGAACCTACGAAGTTGAACCTCCCAATATGTTTCGTTAACTTGTTAGTGCCTGTTCAGATCCTGTCTTTATTATCTGGTCAGTTGATAATTTGCTTCGTTATTCAATCTCAATATCATCTATTTAGTTATCCTTTATGTAAGCTTATATTATTATTATAGCAGTGGTGGTTTGGTCAAAACTAGGTTTTTAGGGGTATAAGGAACCGGGCCTAGTTGGATGGTACTGTGGCAAACTTGATGCTACGACCTGAACTTGCACTGCAGCTGGAGACTTGGATTTCTTCTGCCTGATCATTTCAAAAATGCAAAGTTGTCCATAAGAACAAACCTATGGGCCTCCTGTTTTTATAAGGCCCCGCTTCGCTGAAAAAATAAACCAAAATACTGTTCCGACTAATTTGTTGTGAGAGAAAAACACTATTCCCGCTGAAAAAGACAGATTACAAGATAAACGAACAGAGCCTTACCCTATTAACACTGTACCAAACACAGCATACAGTTGACTGAACTTTAATCTTCTTATTCTATCAAATGAATTAATTTTGTTCTTTTAAATGTTGGATAAGATGCTTGAAGCTTGACAAAGCATTGGTAGCAAATTAAAAATCCATTCATAAATTGTATCGTAGTTCAAATTGTTTAACCTTATGCAACAGGAAAAAAATAATCCCTATAGATGCGCTACTGTTGACATCGGCTTTTGTGACGACTGGTTGCAATGCACTAGCACCAGTGCCCTCCTCCGCTTTTTCGGTGGCGCTCGAGCCATCTGGTGTCGAGTGAGGTGGGCTTCTCGTAGGGGTGTGGCTTTGCTGTTGGGGAAGAAGAGGAGGTGCGAGGGAAGGGGCTGAGGCGGAGAGACGGGAGGGGAGGAAGGCGAGCGATCCAGGTGAGGGGTCGAGGAAGAGGAAGAGAAGGACGAGGATGGCGGAGATGAGGAGGAAGAGTGAGAGCGAGAGGAGGAAGGGCCGCCTCGCGCGATCGGAGGAAGGGACGGCCATCGCCCCTCCGCGGCGTCACTGGTGCGGCGTTGAATTGTGATCTGCTTGGGCCTTGGGGAGTGGAACCAACCGGAGGAGCGAAAGAAGAAGGCGGCAGTGGCGGGTGGTGGGGTTCGGCAGGCGGGTGGGCGGGTGGGTGGGTGGGTTTGGAGTGGAAGCGGACCGTCGCGGCCATGGCTGCTGCGTTGGCACCTCGGCGGCCACGGTGGAGGATGGCGGGTGGGGAAAGGAATGGTGCTGGTCGTTTTCCGATGGTGGCATGGAGCTTTTGATTTGTTTTCACTTCTTTTTTCCTGATCATGAGTTTGTTGCTACACTACACACTGCGATCTCGAAGGGTTCTCAGTTCTGATTTCTCAGCTTATAAAGGCCAGAGACAAGGGTTAATTTGAGTTGGCATAGTTTTTTTTTGAGGGGATGGCATAGTATATATTGATGAAAGGGAAAATTAGCTCCTGGACATTCTTCAACCATGGCTTTTGCTATAAGCCATTAAAAAAATGTGGCTGTGCTATAACACACTCTTCAGCCATGGCAATATGATGTTGGACACTATAGCTCTTATAATAATGTTTCTCAATCAAATAGGTATCTAAACATGATTTCTGGACAAGAATACCCTTACCCCTTCAGATCAACATTACAGCAACAATACATGAGTATGACAAAGAACATTTCAGCATCATAATAGATTGATTTTCATCAATATTTCACCATAGTAGAACAGCATGTTCCAACTAAAGTAGCTGGTCCAGCAAAACAACATGTTCCGACCACATTAGGCTATCTAGTACAGTACCAGATCCATACATCACAAGATCATGGTTTGAACAACAACATTAGAAGAACATGGTACTAAATGGTCTAAGCTTTCTTGGATCTGACAACCTTCAACTTCTTTGGCTTTCCCTTCTCATGGGCAGGATTTGGAGATAGAGCAAGACATTGAACAGGTTCTATATTGCCTTCAAGTTCTAGAATCCTCTTACGACTGTAAATGGATATAGAGTTGTGTCAAATAAACGGAGAGGACCAACATTAAGGCATAAAAATTGAAGTTGTAGTACCTTCTTGTGAGAGGGCTTGCTGTCGAAATAGAGGCAATGGCTCTAGTCGGTGTAGATGCTTCATATTCCAACAACCTCCTTGACATACTGCAAAGATGTAGAAGCATGCAAAATTGGCATAGAAAGAAACATTCACATGTGCAGTTTTTTTTTAAAAAAAAGGAAGATTTAAAGTTGTCATAATGTACCTCCTTGTCACAGGGCTTGTTGTAGGAACAGAAGTGATGGCTCTAGTTGGTGTAGCACTGCAAGTCATTTAAATACGTAAGTTATGGGTGGAAACATTTGTAAGTTAGTTAAAAAAATTCATAAAGCAGTTGAAAGCTTACAATGGGTCAGCATGTGATGGTTGTTCCTGTGGTGGTTCAGAAATACTAGATGGCACTGTTGTGGCATTTTTCTTGCCTCTCTTTCTTTTTGGCTTCGGAGGGGCAGGAGGTGGTGCATCAGAATCATAAACATATTCATTACATGTTTTCGCCATGTGTCCAAGCTGTTTGCACCTTTTGCATCTTGTGGTTCTCTTTCCATATCCACCTTCTGCAGCTGGTTTTAACCTTCTCACCCTTGGCCTCCCAGCCGGCCTTTTTAGAACTGGAGGCCATAGCTTGAACCCTTGATTCACTTGAGGCCACTGTTTTTTGTCAGTCATTGGCTTTATAGACTTTTCATAGGCTTTCTTGAACTTTGACACGGAGTAGTATTCATGAACATAATCTTCAATCTTGCAACCCCGAATTGATGTGATAATACACAAAGCATGTGTACATGGCAGACCAGTAACTTGCCATCGCCTGCAGGTGCACTGACTCTCCTCAGGATCAACAATGTGCCTCCAATGAACTAGATCCCTTGTAACACCTTCGACTTCACCTAACATATCAGTATCTTTGCCACCATCTTTGTGTGAATACCTCCACATATATTTTAGCCCCTTGCTCCTTGCATTGAGGTCCTTCATAACATTTGGCAATATCTTCTCTTCAAGCTTCCGAGCAATTTTTCTTCTCAAGAACATTTTTTCCATGCATAGTTGTCTTATCCTATCCATAAGATCAATTACATTGAGGGATTTTTCATGCCTAACCCAGCTATTGAATGTTTCAGCTATGTTATTTGTCACATAGTCACATTTGCTTGCTTCAGAGAACAAGTGCCTTGTCTAGAGATGCTTATGGTTGTCATGTATCCACTTCATAGCTTCAGGGCATGCTTCATACATCAGATTATAGTGCTCTTCAAACCTTGTCTTTGAAAAGCTCTACATGCTGGCCACAAGTGCTTCTCAAAGACCTCGCCTCGAAATCATTTTTGGAAGTTTGCAACTAAGTGCCTCATGCACTCTCTATGCTCAACCCCACTTTTGAAGACTTTAGTAACAGCAGAATCAATTCCTTTGCCTGCATCAGTTGATATCACTAGGCCTGGAGGTGATCCAATAGCTTGATGAAGTCTACTAAAAAACCAAGCCCAATTTTCAGTTGTCTCTGATCCAAACACACCATAACACACTGGAAACATCTAATTGTTCCCATCAATAGCAGTCGCAGATGCAAGTTGACCCTTCCATTTCCCAGTCAAATGGGTGGAGTCCACACCAAGAAAAGGTCTGCAACCATTCAAAAAACCATCCACACTGGCTTTGAAGGCAACAAACATTCTGGTAAATTTCATCTTCTTCCTATCTTGCTCATATTCAATGTCAACCAAACTGCCAGGATTGGTCCTCTCTACCTCAGCCTTGAATCTGAAAGCATGTGCAAAGCTGTCATCCCACCTCCCTTTGAGCTGTTCCAAAGCCATATTTCTTCCATCCCACACCACCCAATATGATAATTGTAGATGGTACTGTTCTTGTAGCCTTTTCTGCAATGCTTTAGCCCCAATTGTAGCGTCCTTTGCAAGCCAATCAAGAACCCTGTCCCTGACCCAATGATTTGTCGCCATGCAGTTCTTCTCAACTTTTCCTGTGCTTTGACAAGTGTGATCAATAGGAATCTTCTTTATCTACATCAAGGAAAAAATCAGGACAAAAGATCAACCAAAAGTATATGTAAAAAAACAATTAGAACAAAAATTAGCACAAAAATCAGTACCTGCCAAGTCCTTCCATCCTGCAATTGTGAAGCATGTATCCGCCACTTGCACCCATCAGATTTGCAATAACCTCTATATCTTTTTGCCTCAGAATAGGGAGCTGCAATTTCATATTCACCTTTTATTGCATATTGCCTAATAGCCTTCTTAAAAGTAGTACTATCCGCGAAAGTTACACCGACTTTTATTGTTGGGTTCTCTAGGTCAGTTGCATGGATAATTGTCTCACAACCCTGTGCATCCTCTACAACTAATTCATCCTCTAAATCAACACAATCTACATCACCGTACACTTCACAATCAGATGAATCAGATACTGAATCCTCATCATCCAGCCCAACATACTCTATATCATCATCCACCCATGCCACTTCAGTATTGTTCTGAACTGAAGGCTCTACAAGTGATGATGCAATGTCAAGTGGAGGTTGTGCAATAATTTGGTTGGCTGGGGCATCGGTGCTTCCCTGCAGCACACAAGGCATGCTCTGCAGCCGTCCAATATCATGCAAGCAATCTGAATCATCATTCTTCATAACACACACTTGTACTGAGAGCCTTCTTATCTCCCAATACATATCAATTGCATGAAGCAATTTTTGGTCAGAAGTGATCTCTTCATAAGTGCGACTCATATTATCCCAATAGGTGACACGCAACTTGTGTTTAGAGCTTAGATTAATTTCTGTACCAATGTCAATCAGCAAGTCATTCCAATTTGTCATATCCCGGTCTAAAATCCTAGGAATATTACATGCTTGATAGTACTCACGACCACCATCATCAGTAAATTTCACATAAGCACCCACACGCACAGCAAGCCTGTAGGACGAATTGAGATCCATCCTACACAGACATTGGCACAAATCGAAGCGGAATCAAAACATATTATGCTTTACTTTGCAAATATGAGCCCATGCTAGCACTAACCCTAGAGAAATTGGGAGAAAACTTACCCCTCAGGAACCTATGAAAGATCTGCCTGATCTTGGGGGAAAATATCGTTGAGGAATCGTGGGGCCTCCATCTTCTATCAATCGCTGAGACACGGTGCGCCGCTGGAGGGAATGCTTGGGGCCTAGCACAAGCTACTCCCTAGCCATCGCGCCACGCGCCGAGGGGGCCTTGCCCCGGGCGTCGCCGTGCGTAGGTGGAGCCGCGCGCTGCGGGTGGGCTTCGGGCGTGGGCTGCACGGGAGGGGCCGCTGCTTCCTTGTGATTGCGCCACCGTCTGGAAGTTGAGAGAGAAAGAGAGAGCAGTTCGGATAGGAGAGAAACGAACGGGATGAATGCTTCTGGATGAATGTTTCTGTGCGTGCTCGTAAGTCCACCTAAAAGAGATAAGGGGCAAAATCGTCATTCGTCTGTCTTTCCAATTTAATTGAATAAAATAAGATGTATAGTGTGCAACAGCATATTGATACGATTGAAGAGTGTGTTTCGACCAAGTTTTCTTTTTTCGGTGCTCTGTGACAAAAGCCACGGTTGAACGGTGTCCGGCAGCCAATTTACCCTTGATGAAATGATGAGTAAATTTGAGTTCTCCAGTGTAAAATTAAGTCGGCCAATTTAAGAGTTTACCTAATCGGTTGTTTTATGGTAAGAAATAGTTTGAACCATCTAGCTATGCTACATCAGTCCAGTAATTTGTGATTTGCTAATCAGTTTTGGTTCTCGGTTGAGTTGTGACTAAGGCTGGATAACGAGCCGGCTCGGCTCGTTTAGGCTCGGCTCGTTCTGGCTCATTAAGATAACGAGCTAGCTCGGCTCGGCTCGTTATCCTAACGAGCCAGAAAGCCAGCTCGGCTCGGCTCGTTAAAAGCTCGAGCTGGCTCGTTAAGCTCGCGAGCCAGGTATAAAAAATACATAAAATATAATATTTGCATTTATCTAAAGTTTGAGAATAATAATAATACAAAAAAAATGCATCTAACAACCTTAAATCGAATAAAAAAATTAATATGCGCTAATATATATACAAGTATAATAAAATACTATAGTATTCATGCATCTAACAACATTAAATGATACTTTTTTTCCCGGAAGCTTGGCTCATTTAGCTCGCGAGCTGGCTCGAGTTAGCTCGTTATAGCTAACGAGCTAAAATCCTGGCTCGGCTCGGCTCGTTATCATAACAAGCCGAGTCGAGTCAAGCCAGCCACGAGCCGAGCGAGCTTTGAGTTTTTCGTCCAGACTTAGTTGTGACAATAGGAGTCGACACCGATTCACCCGGGGTGTATTTCTCGAGCAATCATTGGTGGCAGAAACAAGGCGTACTAATTATTTGCCACAGGTTTGTGTGACTAGATGAAACAAGCGTAAATGGATTTGCTTCGCCTATAATCAATAATCAGTCACCGGAGTACAGGACTCATGATCACACACCTGAGATCAGCTCAAGCTGTCAGTCAGTCGCTAGGAAATGGCAACGCCTCTAGTCTAGAGCGATAACACTGCCATGCTTCAGTGGCAGGACCTAAACAGAAGCAAATATTCCGTGAGGCAAAAATTTTGTGACAAAACAGCTGGCACATTGGAAACTATCTGATTTGCGATTGCGCACGGTGTTGGCGCTGGTCCTCCTTCAACTTCTCCCTGGGCGAGAGCTTGTCGCCGATCAGTGTGATCTTCCAGCAGTCTGCTTGAAGTATGAAAACTGAACCAGCTTTTGGTACAACTGCAGGTTCCAAAGTAGTAGGTTGCTTAGAAAGTCTACAGTTTAGTATAACAGAATTTCACATGAGCAAGAGATATCAATAACGGCAAGCCTTTGATAATAACATTTGAAAGTCTACAGTCAGAAACCTCTGATCATGAAAAAAATCATGAGCCGTAAAGGTGTTTCGTTCAGAACAAAGGCTATGGATCGCAAACAATTATTTCACAACTCAACGAGTATCCTATCGAGGTAGAGCTATAGAAGAATGGTTTAACAGCATTTACAGTAGATGGAATCTAACAATGGAACAAGGCTGATTAATCACTTTAAGGGCCATTTTGCTACACAAAATAAAATACAGCTAATGCAAGTGATTCACAATACAGCACCAGAAAGAGAAGGATAGGTACCTCGGAAGCGGTTGTCCTCGGATATAATTCCAAATGTCTCTGCAGTATCCCGAATCATGATGCCGTTTACACCGTCATATGAAGCAGCTTTGCATTCTGCCACTGGATACCTCAAAGACATGTAAGCATGATTGAATTAAAAGAAAGTTGAATAAAGTAAGTCAGCATATGGATCACCTATTAGAAGGGCCCCATGAAGATCTGCTGAAAGGAGGTTTTCAGACAATTTCTTTTTCCTGTGGGGAAGACAGGACATGTAATTAGCTCATATAGGGTACAGATTACAGGAACAAGCACAATGACAGGGTTTACATCCAAG